AAATGGACACACAAAAGACCTTTCAGAAAAACGTCTATGAAAGTCAATTACCTTCTACAGCCTTGGCATTATTAGAAAATCGTCCAGAGGTATTCTCTGGATAAAATACCTTCCATCAATAGGTAAATGATTTTCCACAGGTCGTCTATGGATAGAATACAGTTCCTCTATGGATAGAATCCCAGAGATATGTTATGAATATTAGACCTTAATTTTTATGACCCGAATTCCTTTCAGAAGTCTTCTATGGATAAAATACCTTCCCGAGGTCTTCTATGGTTCTATGTCCATTCTGAGGTCTTCTATGGTTAGAAGACCATCCTGAGTTCATCTATGGAAACTAGACGTGTCAAAAGTTTTCTATGGACATAAGGCCTTCCAGGAGTTTTCTATGAATAGAAGATCACATATAGATATTCTTTGTATTGTAAAATACTATTCTGATATCTTGTATAGATAGAGGATCTTCCAAAGGTGCTCTAGAGAATAACTACCCTCCAGACGACATCTCAACAGATAGGTGTGAACCTCGATAGATAGAGGTATAGTCGAAAATTTTCTATGGATACATACGATTCTCTCCATCTTACATATCCTTACAGAGACCTTCTACAAAGAGAATAACTTTCATATATCCTCTGTATATAGAATGTCTTTCAGAGGTCGTTTATAAGTGCGACGACTTCCATTGTTCCTCGGGAGGTCTACCAGAGTTTTTCTACGGACAGAAAAAGTTCTTCTACGAAGGCCCTCTATAGGTATTCTATGTATAAAAACAATTCAAATGTCTTTTATGGATGAAAGTCCTTCCGAAGATCTTCTAAATGGGATCTATTGGGTTTCTTGCTCTGATACCTGCTTCACAGAATGTCAACCTTCATGGTTAAAAAACTGAGTCTTCCAGCTTCAGCTCATCTATTCGATGTGTGTATAAGGACTCCCTTCAGCTCATCTGTCACCTTCAGCTCGTCTATAAAGGCTCCCTTCAGTTCCTCTATGAAGTCCCAGCTCGCCTGGCAAGTCTCCCTTCAGTTCACCTATAAAGACTCCATTCACTCCGTCTGTAGATACTTCCTTCAGATCGCCTATATCGACTCCTTGAGCTCGCCTATAAATACGCCTTCAGTTGTATTTGAAAGACTCCCTTCAACTCGTCTATGAAAGATTCCGTGCAGCTCGTCTATGAAAGACTCTCTACAGCTCGTCTATGAAAGATTCCCTTCAACTCGTCTATAAAAGATTCCGCAGAAAGACTCTCTGCAGCTCGTCAATAAAAGACTCGTCTATGAAAGATTCCCTTCACCTCGTTTGTAAAGAGTCCCTTCACCTTGTCTATGAAAGACGCCCTTCAGCTCGTCTATGAAAGACGCCCTTCAGCTCGTCTATGAAAGACGCCCTTCAGCTCGTCTATGAAAGACGCCTTGCAGCTCGTCTATGAAAGACGCCATGCAGCTCGTCTATGAAAGACGCCTTGCAGCTCGTCTATGAAAGACGCCTTTCAGCTCGTCTATGAAAGACGCTTTGCAGCTCGTCTATGAAAGACGCCCTTCAGCTCGTCTATGAAAGACGCCCTTCAGCTCGTCTATGAAAGACGCCCTTCAGCTCGTCTATGAAAGACGCCCTTCAGCTCGTCTATGAAAGACGCCCTTCTGCTCGTCTATGAAAGACGCCCTTCAGCTCGTCTATGAAAGACGCCTTGCAGCTCGTCTATGAAAGACGCTTTGCAGCTCGTCAATAAAAGACTCGTCTATGAAAGACTCCCTTCAGCTCGTCTATGAAAGACGCCCCTCAGCTCGTCTATGAAAGACGCCCTTCAACTCGTCTATAAAAGATTCCGCAGAAAGACTCTCTGCAGCTCGTCAATAAAAGACTCGTCTATGAAAGATTCCCTTCACCTCGTTTGTAAAGAGTCCCTTCACCTTGTCTATGAAAGACGCCCTTCAGCTCGTCTATGAAAGACGCCTTGCAGCTCGTCTATGAAAGATGCCTTGCAGCTCGTCTATGAAAGACGCCTTGCAGCTCGTCTATGAAAGACGCCTTGCAGCTCGTCTATGAAAGACGCCTTGCAGCTCGTCTATGAAAGACGCCCTTCAGCTCGTCTATGAAAGACGCCCTTCAGCTCGTCTATGAAAGACGCCTTGCAGCTCGTCTATGAAAGACGCTTTGCAGCTCGTCAATAAAAGACTCGTCTATGAAAGACTCCCTTCAGCTCGTCTATGAAAGACGCCCCTCAGCTCGTCTATGAAAGACGCCCTTCAGCTCGTCTATGAAAGACGCCCTTCAGCTCGTCTATGAAAGACGCCCTTCAGCTCGTCTATGAAAGACGCCCTTCAGCTCGTCTATGAAAGACGCCCTTCAGCTCGTCTATGAAAGACGCCCTTCAGCTCGTCTATGAAAGACGCCCTTCAGCTCGTCTATGAAAGACGCCCTTCAGCTCGTCTATGAAAGACGCCCCTCAGCTCGTCTATGAAAGACGCCCTTCAGCTCTTCTATGAAAGACGCCCTTCAGCTCGTCTATGAAAGACGCCCTTCAGCTCGTCTATGAAAGACGCCCTTCAGCTCGTCTATGAAAGAAGCCCTTCAGCTCGTCTATGAAAGACGCCCTTCAGCTCGTCTATGAAAGACGCCCATCAGCTCGTCTATGAAAGACGCCCTTCAGCTCGTCTATGAAAGACGCCCTTCAGCTCGTCTATGAAAGACGCCCTTCAGCTCGTCTATGAAAGACGCCCTTCAGCTCGTCTATGAAAGACGCCCTTCAGCTCGTCTATGAAAGACGCCCTTCAGCTCGTCTATGAAAGACGCCCTTCAGCTCGTCTATGAAAGACGCCCTTCAGCTCGTCTAAGAAAGACGCCCTTCAGCTCGTCTATGAAAGACGCCCTTCAGCTCGTCTATGAAAGACGCCATTCAGCTCGTCTTTGAAAGACGCCCTTAAGCTCGTTTATGAAGGACTCCCATCAGCTCGTCTATGAAAGACTCCCTTCAGCTCGTCTGTGAAAGACTCCCTCAGCTCGTCTATGAAAGACGTCCTTCAGAGGTCCTCTATAAAAGACTCCCTTCAGCTCGTCTATGAAAGACTCCCTTCAGATCGTCTATGAAGGACTACCTTCAACTCCTCTGCTTCAGCTTATACAGGGAAGACTCCCTGCTTCAACTCGTCTATGAAAGACTACCTACAGTTTGTCTATGAAAGATTCCCTATAGCCCGTTTATGAAAGACTCTATTCAGCTGCTATAAGAAAAACTGCCTTCAGTCGTCTATAGAGACTCCCTTCAGCTCGAATATAAAGACTTCCCTTTAGATCGTATATGAACAACCCCCACTCACTCCTTCTGCTCTTCTATGGAAAATATAAGAGGAAATCTTTAAAACTCTTATATTTTCGAAGTCAAAATGTCCTTCCTCAGTTCTATTAAATTAAAAAAAAAAAACATTTTTTAGTGATAGTTGTTATAAACAATGTATTTATTATTTTGTTGTTGTTTGGTTTGATATAAACAATTGACAGCTAGTGTAAATTATTTAAATGTATTTATTTAGGTTAATAGGTTGTTGTTGTTTTTTATGGTTATGGCTGTATATATGTGGCTGTGTGAAAGAACAAACATAGGATTTAAAAATAGGAGAACAATAATAGTATTAATAGAATAATAATAATAATAGTCATAATAATAGGTTTATAGGTATGAACATTAACGAGATTTATTTGTTTACGTTTATTTTCTATATATTGCAATTTATTTAGTATTTTCCTTTTTTTGTTTTTTTTCATAAGCAGCACATCTAGTGATGAAGTACATTCGTTTGAGTGTTGTTGTTTTTATTATAATTTTCCTATAACATTATATACTTGTTTTGTTTTGTTGTTTTTATTTTTCTTTTTGCATTGAAGATTCGTTTACTTTAGTTGTTATTGTTATTTACATTAAATATATACTCATAATAGTAATAATAACTAATTTATCTTAATAAATTTGAATAATACTTGTTATGTGTTTTTGGTTGTTGTTGTTTTTGTGTCATTTTTTTATTTTTTTGCGAATTCCCTAATAAAGTATTTTGTTGGTATTTGAGATAATTCTTGTTGTTGTTATTGCATTTTGCATTTATTTCTTCCTTGTATAAATATGTAAGGTTGTATTGTTTATAAGAATATTATGAAGGGTTCTAAGGTCATGAGAAAAATGGAAAATATTTTGTATTGCTATGTGTGAACTATGTGAATGGTAGCATCCTTTGAAATTAACCCGTACTTTCCACCGTTTTCGTATAAATTGAATTGTTAAAAACAATTAATAAAAAAGAATTGAATTTATTTTATTTTGAAATGAGACCTGCTACCTTTTATCGAAACTAACTTGTGAGTTATGAAGAATTGTTAAAAACAATTAATAAAAAAGTATTGAATTTATTTTATTTTGAAATCGAGACCTGCTACCTTTTATCGAAACTAACTTGTGAGTTATGAAGACACCTGGTAGTCTGTAAAGACTTCCTTCATCCCTTCTATAAAGACTTCATTCAGCACATATGTAGGGACTTACTACAGCTTATCTACAAACACTTACTTCAGATCATCAATATACACTCACTTCAAACCATGGTTTTTAAAAATCACCTCAGACCCATCTATAAAGGCTCACTCCACATGTCCATAAAAATCGTTTATATCAAAACAGAACTCAATATTTCGGCCATATTTTTAATACTTCTGGCTATGGGGGGAATCATTGGACTTAATCGAAAAATCTATGCTAATCCCCTAGGAAGTTTAGGTATGAAATGGACTTAAATCGCTTTCTATAAACAGCTGTAATACAATTTCTGCTAAACATATTTAATTACTTATTTCCACCTAACATCTGTATGTGTGTGTATGTAATTTTGGAATGTCTGAATATTGTGTATTGGAATGTCTATTTGTATGTATAAATATATATTTTTAATTTAGATTATAACTTATGGCTAATGTTATCATTTTCTTCCTTCCGTGCATCCCCCTTAAGCATTCGATTCTTTCAGATTTTGTAATCTTGCCAATTGATTTGAATCCAATTCTTCCGGTATACTGGCACGACCACCCACCACCTGTTTGGGTGCATCCACAACATCGGCCTGCTCCTGATGCGATTCATCCACACTTTGTGGTCCACCACCACCGCCGCCTCCGGCACTTGCAAATGCATCATCGAAATTCGCATCAAAATTCGCCTCGAAATTCGCCTCAAATCCAGTGGCGGCTTCGGTGCTGGCACCAGCATTTGCCTTCTCATTAAACGGGTCTTCGGCCTCTTCTAAGGGCTGAACTTCTGACGAATCATGTTCCTGATCAGATGAGGGTAAATCCTCTGGATTGGGTGTAGGCGAGGTTAGTGTTATTGTTACACTTACAGCCTCGAGGGCTTCATTACCTTCAATTATTTGTGGTATCTCCGATTGTTTGGTGGCCTTCTTTTTGCTATCATCGGCATCGTCATCATGATCACCACCGCCACCATCACCGGCACCAATTGGCTTAGTTTTCTTATCATCCGCATCATCCGCGTCTTTGTCTTCTACTGGAGGGAAAGATTTATCGGATCCGTCTTCAACCATTGGGGTTGCAGCGGTAACAATAATTTGTGCCATACCTAAATTTAATGTGTTCCCTTTGTCCTTTGTAACCTTGGCGCCCAATGTGGGTGCAGTAAATGAAGGTGGCGGTTGTGAGGGTGGCGGATTACCATCTTCCTCGATATCGTCCTGGAAAAATGGAAAGAGAAAAAATAATATTTAGATTAATAAAAAATAATTATTAACCTATAGAAACAGGCAAATCAATCTTATATAGATGAGCTCCGAAGGAGAAAACATTTGAGAGGACAATATATAGGTGAGCTTAATTAAGTCTCTATATACATATTAACCTTATAGACAAGCTTAAGGGAGAGTCATTATATAAGTTTAGATGAGCCGAATGGAGTCTTTAAAGACGAGCTAGCTGAAAGGGAGTTTCTATAGTCTTTATAGACGAGCTGAAGGGAGTCTTTATAGACGAGCTGAAGGGAGTCTTTCATAGACGAGCTGAAGGGAGTCTTTCATAGGCGAGCTGAAGGGAGTCTTTCATAGACGAGCTGAAGGGAGTCTTTCATAGACGAGCTGAAGGGAGTCTTTCATAGACGAGCTGAAGGGAGTCTTTCATAGACGAGCTGAAGGGAGTCTTTCATAGACGAGCTGAAGGGAGTCTTTATAGACGAGCTGAAGGGAGTCTTTCATAGACGAGCTGAAGGGAGTCTTTCATAGACGAGCTGAAGGGAGTCTTTCATAGACGAGCTGAAGGGAGTCTCATAGACGAGCTGCAGGGAGTCTTTCATAGACGAGCTGAAGGGAGTCTTTCCTAGACGAGCTGAAGGGAGTCTTTCATAGACGAGCTGAAGGGAGTCTTTCATAGACGAGCTTAAGGGAGTCTTTTATAGACGAGCTGAAGGTAGTCTTTCACAGACGAGCTGAAAAGAGTCTTTCATAGACTAGCTGAAGGGAGTCTTTCATAGACGAGCTGTAGGGAATCTTTGTAGACAGGTTGTAGGGAGTCTTTGTAGACGAGTTGTAGGGAGTCTTTGTAGACGAGCTGAAGGGATGCTTTATAGACGAGCTGAGAGGGCAAATTTTATAGGTATCTATGACACTGTAGATAGTTTTATGGGCGAGTAGCTATAGGCAATCTGAGAAATATACCGTCGTTAATGAAAATACTCGTAATTTATGGACTTCCTTTTCGACAGAAGTGCAGGTTTTTCGATGAGAGCAGTGTACTAGTTGGAGGGAGTCTATCTGGGTACGTAGTTTTCTTCATGACGTTTTTTTTTTTTTTTTGAGATGCGGATCATTTATTAGTCCAATAGCTTAAAACATATTTTCTAAATTACAATATTAACAAAATTACCTCATCATCCTGCTCTTGTATGAGCACTAATGTAAGCATTAAATAGAATAGAAAATTTTTGATTAATTATTTTTATTCCAAATTTAGACAACAATCGTAAGTGTCTATAATATAAAATATTATGTATATTTTCAAATATTACTGTTTTATTGGGAGAAAATAATGACAAAAAATAGCAACAAAATTTACAAAAAAGGAACACTAACTACGAATTAAAAAAGTAACAACATGTTCCGTGTATTAAAATGGCTTTCAGGGTTTGTTGGTGTGTAGAGTAGAGAAGTGAAATTTTGAATTAGTTTTGTGTTGTTGGGGTGGGGTTGTTTGGAGTGCATTCCGAATTTTGAAGTATTGGTGTCAAATTGTCATGCAATTTATTTCAAAACGTGCTGTTTTTTTGTGTGTGGTGTTTTAGGTTTTTAAAAAATATTTTGGAAATTTAGTTAACAAAGCTGTACAAGTTATCGAAAATAAATTATAATAAAACAGTTTATATTAAATAATAAAACATTTAATATATATTTATTCAATTTTTAAAAAATATGTAATAAAAATTCATTTGGTTTCCATTTACATATTATTCATCTAAGAATATTAAATATTATTTTTGTACAGTAGTACGCATACTTAAAGTTAAAACGTATACGCCACTTTATATATATAAAAATATAATCAAAACCACTATCCATCACATGAACATATACAGAGAAGTACGGTTATAGCGAACGAATAGGGACCATGAAACTTAGTTCCTTATAGAAGAGGCTTTATTTATTGCCAGAGAACCACTTGGTTCGGAGAATTTTCAAAAACCAGCCATTCCCCTGGAGAAGATTTGCGGATGTTCTTAAAGCAAAGGATATACAACAACGTATTTTCACAACCATACTCCAGTATTAAAAGCTTTTTCAAGAAACTGCAGACAACGTTCTCTGAATACTCTGAGAACAAATGATCCGGAACATAAGCTTTCTTGGGAAATGCTTCACTCGTTCATATAAGAGGTTTAAGCCTTCTTCTTCTAGAAGAACTTTAGATCTTCTTCTGTTAGAAGAGCTTTAAATCTTCTTCTTCTAGAAGGGCTTTAAGCCTTCTTCCAGAAGAGATTTAGGTATTCTTCTTCTAGAAGGGCTTTATATCTTCTTCTAGAAGAGCTTCCGGGGGAGCTTAAGGTCTTCATCTTATAAAAGAGCTTTAGATCTTCTTCTAGAAGAGCTTTAGGCCTTCTTCTTCAAGAAGAGTTTCAGATATCCTTCTAGAAGGGTTTTATATCTTCTTCTAGAAGAACTTCCGGAGAAGCTTAAGGTCTTCATCTTATAAAAGAGCTTTCGATCTTCTTCTAGAATAGCTTTCGATCTTCTTCTAGAAGAGCTTAAGATCTTCTTCTAGAAGAGCTTAAGATCTTCTTCTTCTAGAAGAGCTTAAGATCTTCTTCTTTTAGTATAACTTTAGGTCTTCTTCTTCTAGAAGAGCTTTGGTCTGCTTATTCTTAAAAAACTTTAAATATTCTTTTTCTAGAAGAGCTTTAGGTCTTCTTCTTCTAGAAGAGCTTTAGATCTTCTTCTTCTAGAAGAGCTTTAGATCTTCTTCTTCTAGAAGAGCTTTAGATCTTCTTCTAGAAGAGCTTTAGATCTTCGTCTTCTAGAATAGATTTAGATCTTTTTCTAGAAGAGCTTTCAATCTTCTTCTAGAATAGCTTTCTATCTTCTTCTAGAAGAGCTTAAGATCTTTTTTTTCTAGAAGAGCTTAAGATGTTCTTCTAGAAGAACTTTAGAGCTTCTTCTAGAAGGACTTTAGATCTTCTTCTAGAAGGACTTTAGATCTTCTTCTAGAAGAGGTTAATATTTTCTTCTTTTTCTAAAAGAACTTTAAGTCTTCTTCTAGAAGAGCTTTAAGACTTCTTCTTCTAGTTTTAGCGGGCATATAATGAAGTTGAAGACGTGTTTTTGATCCAAATCCGATGCGGATTACAAGGTTTAATAAATTTTCCGAAGTATATGAATATAAAAACTTCAACAACATTAATAGCTTTGAGAGCCTACAATGTTTTTGCAAAAAAAAAAACCTGCACGTAGAGCATCTGTCAGATCTATGAGTTTTCATAAGATTTTGAATACTCAGTTTTTCTCAAGACAAGTTCAAGAAAACTACAGTAAACAGCTCGATATCGTTAAAATATCTAAGTGGGATAATTTGCGGCAAATCTTCGGCCGTCGTTATTCAAATGTAGTTTGCGGATTTATCAGCATTCGCCAGATTGGGGCTTCAACATTTTACATGTTCATTCCTCTACTTGTATTTTCCCCTAATTTGCCTAAACATTGACCGAATATTACCTATAAATTGGAGATTATTTCGAAGTTTTAATGTGGCCTACAGAACTAGTAAATAAAAAAATGTATAACACCTGGACTTTGATTAGGCGTTCACCAACATTTAGTCTACGCCAGTGGTTGAATGTTCATATAATACTTTCATAGAACAGGAATAGAACCTATGTTCCTATTTATTTTCATAAAGGTCCCAAGCACTTGACACGTTCACTTAAATAGAAGAACATTTTTACATTCCATTCCAGGGTTCTATTTTTTTCTATATTATTTTTTTTTTTAATTTTAATTTAAATTCAAATTTAAATTTCTATAGGGATATCATGACCAATAATAATCTTTTGACTCCATTTTTCCTCAATTCCAGATTTTCAAATGCTATTCTACAAATATTTTTTTCTATTATGAACTCAATCTAATAAAAACAAATCGTAATAAATCTATATAATAAAAATTATTTAATTAAAAAAATATTTATGAAAAGTGTGTTAAATATTTGAATAAAAAATATAATAATTGAAAATTTTGTACATTTGCATCTAAGAATCATTGAAGAAAGGCAACATAAATACAACAATTACCCTTTTTGGCAGTGCTTGTTTTCGGTGCTTAAAACGGAAAAGGAGTAGATAATAACAATTTGTTTTGGAAAATCAAAACCACAAGGAAAAAAGGAAAAAAATACACACTTAAAGCGGTAGATAAAGCAAATTAAACGAAGAAATATATAAATGCAATTTAAAAAGTAAATTTTAAAAAAAAATACGAAGAAACACACGAGGTTAAAACAATTGAATTTGTCATTATATTTTCTCTTCATCTTAATTTGTATACTTCTTATATTCTGCTTTATCAAATAGGGTAGCAAAACAAAAAAGAGAGAGATTACAACAAAATAACATTGAGACATAACGATGACATTATTCGAGGTCATCATGTTTGTGGTTGCCGTCAATTTTTTATTTCTTAGAAATGCTGTAAAGAAATCAAAACAGGATATGAACACCCACACACACACAAACACACGAAAAAACAATAAAATACACACCCACACACTGAGTTACATACATATATAAGGGAGTTGTTTAAACAATTTAACAGATATTTTTCAATTATTTCAAAACTTCAAGAATTTAGTACAGAAGAAAGAAAGATAAAAAAGAAGAAGTGGGGGAAATGGAAATATCAGATTTCAGTTGGAGATGTTAATTTTCCTTTTTTTGGTTGTATTACACCCAACACTCTTTTACACACACACAGAGACACTTGAAATAGAGTTTAAGACACATCGTGTAGAGAGCGACCGAGCGAGCGAGCGAGAGAGAAAGAGAAAGTCTTGCTTGTTAGAAGAGAAAGACTTAAGATTCGATCACACAATTTCAAGTTATTTTCTTTGTTTTTGTTTTACCTCTAAAGAGTTATAGAGAAGCAAGAGGATCTTTAAAAGATTATGATTTTTAAAGTAATAATGAAAAATTGGGTTAATATGAAAATTAAAAAAAAAAAACATTTTTCAAAAAATAAATCATATCCAATGATAGAAAATGTTTTGAAGGTTCTTTGAGTGGTTAGTTGAAGATAATGAAAGACGAACTTAAGAAATCTATGGTTGATTAGTCTAAAGGTTGAGTGAGAAAGAGACATGAAAAAAGGTACACAAAACCTCTAAATTATTGAAACAATTTTCTGAAAAATTACCTGGAGGAGGCATGCTGGGTGCAGCACCATTTGGTATATAGCCACTGTCGTCATCTGTAAAAGGAAAAATATGAGAAAAATTAGCAAAAATTTTTAGAGAAAAGCTCAAGATTTTTATCATAGAAGAGCTAAAGAACTTTATATTCCTCATAGATAGGCTGAAGGTATTTTTTTCATAGAAGATTTCAAAGACTTCTTTTCAAAGAAGTTTTCAAGGTCTTCTTTATAGATAAGCTCAAGGTTTTCTGCATAGAATAACTCAAGGACATCGTTATACAAGAGTTCAAATTTTGCTTCATAGAAAATCTCAAGGTCTTCTTATAGAGGGACTTAAGACCTGCTTCATAGAAAAGCTCAAGATCTTCTTCTACATAGAAGAGCTTTAGGTCTTCTTCTTAGAAGAGCTTTAGGTCTTTTTCATAGAAGAGCTGTAGGTCTTCTTCATAGAAGAGCTTTAGGTCTTTTTCATAGAAGAGCTGTAGGTCTTCTTCATAGAAGAGCTTTAGGTCTTTTTCATAGAAGAGCTGTAGGTCTTCTTCATAGAAGAGCTTTAGGTCTTTTTCAAAGATGAGCTTTAGGTCTATTTCGTAGAAGAGGTTTAGGTCTTCTTCATAGAAGAGCTCAAGGTCTTCTTCATAGAAGAGCTTTAGGGCTTCATAGAAGAGCTTTAGGTCTTCTTCATAGAAGAGCTTTATGTCTTCTTCATGGACGAGCTTTATGTCTTCTTCATGTACGAGTTTAAGGTATTATTCATGGACGAGCTTTAGTTCTTCTTCATGGAAGAGCTTTAGATCTTTTTCTTCTAGAAAAGCTTTAGATCTTTTCTTCTAGAAAAGCTTTAGATCTTTTTCTTCTAAAATCGCTTTAGATATTTTTCTTCTAGAAGAGCTTTAGATCTTTTTCTTCTAGAAGAGCTTTAGATCTTTTTCTTCTAGAAGAGCTTTAGGTATTCTTCATAGAATAACTCAAAATCTTCTTCATAGGAGAACGCAAGGTCTTCTTCATAGAAAATCTCAATGTCTTTTTTATAGAAGAGCTTTTGGTCTTCTTTATAAAATAGCTTTCAGTCTTCTTCATAGAAGAGTTTTAGCTTTGGGTTTTCTTCATAAAGGGCCTCTTCTCATAGATGAGAATGAAATTTTCTTTTATTCCCTATTTCACTCACCTGCCGTATCCTGCGATCCGAACATATCCTCGGTCAATTCATGAGCATACTCTGGCGGTAGTGCTGGTGCAGGTGGGAGTGCAAAACTGGGCGGTGCTGTAGGTGGTGGTGAATCTTCACCACCCTCGGTCAACGGTTCACCATTCTCATCGCACTCTTCCACAACCAATGAGGGGAAATTACCAAATTTACCATCCAATTCACCTTCCCACCAACCGTCATCAACGCCATGTGCCGTTTTTGTAACTATTTTTATTATCTGTCCCTCCTCGAAGGTCAGCTCATCCTCAGCGGTAGCATCATAATCGTACAAGGCAATACAATACATAACATCGGATTTCTTTTTCTGTGGAGCCATTATGACCGACACCTGATCTGGCGATTGCATCGAATCCACGGTCTGATCTTCATTATCAACGGTATAATCGACAGATGAGAAAGATATCTGAGAACGCAATTGATTAGCTGCACTACCATTGGCGGCCGCTTCCTGTTCAATATCCAAATAGTTGTGTGGTACATAACCCTCTTCGCCGCGATAGTTGCGGGCTCGCAACCAACCGTCGCCATCACCTTCGCCAATTACCTCGAGTTGTTCATTTTCGACAATGGTCAGTTCATCAGGATTTTGGGCCTTTAAAATAAGAAAATAATATTTTAATGTGGATCGGAAATAGCGGAACGGGTTCGGTTACTTACAGTGTAACTGTATAGAGCGGTACACTTGAATATGGCCTCTTTGGGTTCAGGAACAATGGGTTCTTCGGGTTCTTCTTCTTCGTCTTCGCCACCCCAATTAACTTCAGTTGGATCTTCCCAACCGGTATTAGCGCTCATTGCTGGCATTGTTGTTGTTGGTTCTGGTATGTGTTCTTCGGTTTCTGTGGACAAAAAAGAGAACATACGTTTTGGCTATATTTTTCTAATAAATTGGGGGGATTAAATTGTTAGAAATTTGCGATTTACAAACGAATATTTTTAATACTTAAATTGTTTTTTCAAAACCATTACAATCATGGACTTAAAAAACACATTTAAAAATAATTAGGTTCCACAACAAGCGTGGATTTAAAAAAATCAGGATCCCTTATAATTGTGGATTAAAAAAAGTATCCATTATAAGCGTGGATTTACAAGCTTAGATTTTTGAAACACTGTTTTTTAAATCCAACCCAAGACCGTATTAAAAATATTTTTTTAAGAAACCCCTTGACCTACTAATATAGGAGAAGACTACTTGATATTTTCTAATATAGAAAATACCACTGAACCTTCCCCCATATGGAGAATAGCAATGGACCTTCTTTTATATGAATAAGACAACGGGGTTATTTCTCATATGGTAAAAGCTTATATATTGGCCTTCGCGACCTTCGTATTAAAATTAATCCGAAATTCCCTGGTATTTTCTAGTATGAAAAATACCACTGAACCTTTTCACATATGGAGAAGATCAATGGACCTTCTTTTACATGGATAAGACATCTGGATTATCTCTTATATGAAAAACCCCATCCATTATATTAAGAAAACTCTTTTTGTATTGGCCTTCGCGAACTTCTTATTAAAATGAATCGACAATTCCCCCTCATAATGGAGTGGGCCATTTCGTCTTACCTTCATCACTATCACTAAATGTATGATCTCTGGTAAGTTCAGGTTGTTCCTTGGTTGACGAAGCAGGAGCAGCCGCCTGAGTACCACCAGCAGCCTCTTCCTTATCACTGTCATAGAATGAATCTGAACTTGGATTTTCCTGAAACAGAAATAAAAATATTTTTATTTTTTTATTTAAATTAAATTAACATCCACCTACCCCTTGCCCGGAGGCATCTGTACGCATAGAAATCGAACTTGCCGAGCGTGTCAGTTCCTGAGCCCCAATAATCTCAGCCTCTTGAACCCATTCATCGACATTTATACCACCTTCACGTAGACTTTGCAAGCACGCCTCTGCCTTGGCTTTCTCTGTTTCTGATCTTCGTATTTGATCACGGAACTCCTCAATCTTAGTATCCAAATCGGGGCCGTTGGGATCATTTGGATCGGTGCGTTGGCCAGAATCACGTAGAGCAACACATACTGCCAGTTTCTTGGCATTTTCTCGAATCGAAAGATTCTCCTTAACCACACGACCAGCTAAATTCTTAGCCTCTTTGGTAAGCGTCTCAACGGCCGATTCATGTTCTGTGGTAACCTTGCGTATCGGATCATTGTCACATGGTTCGAAATCGTATTGAATATGTTGCTTGAGTACCGGATAGAAGAGATAGCAGCATTGTAAATTATATTCCCTGGTCAGCTGTTGGGCTTGATCACGAATCTTGCCGAACGAGTTTTGTGTTGCCGAACAGGTTAACAATTCGGTACGACCCATTAGAGTCAAATATTCCGCCACACGTTCAAACACATAATTCTCCATTGTGGTCATGGTTGTCTGTAGATCGACTGTGAAATAACGATTCTGATGAGCATTGGCCGCAGCCAAACTCAGAATGTAATCATTTCGAGCTCCTGTCGATTTCTCCTCCAACAATTCCTTACGCGATGTTACCCGAGCACTGTTTTTTTGCAGCGAAGTAATCGATTGGAAAAATGAACCCTTTTTCTTTTTCAATTTCTCCTCGATGTCGCGGGCCTTGTCACGAACATCATGGGCGCAGTGCTCTTCATCGAAATACTGTTTCTTGGCCTTGTCCAAATCGCCGACACTCAAATGCAGCTCCTTTTGTACATTCACAATGTAGGAGAGGGATTTTTTGGCAATACCTAATTTATAGTCACGCAGAACTTTGGCCTCATCGGCAATTTGTTGTTGGAAAACTTCAATGGCCGCCAGACGAGCTCGGGCAAGTTTTTCGTTTTCTTCCAATACCGTACGCCAAACGCTCCACATATTCCTGTAAGCGAGGAGAGGGGGAGGGAAATTGATATTAGTTTTTGAGTCAATGGAATTAGGGGGTGTATGTTTGTTAATCTTTTTTTCTTTTTATATCAATGTGTGGGTGTGTTTTATTTGAAATGGATTCAATTGCTATCCAGACAAATTATAATCCACCCCCCTAAAAAAACCAGAAACACAATTTTTATAACTGATTAGATTTGTAAAAAGAAACAGAAAATAAAACAAAAACATAGTTTTGTGACCTATTTTGTTGTTTTTGTATTACGTCATTTTTTACGCCCCTGATTACAAAGGCTGAAGATAAAGGACACAAGGATCTTCAAATATTAAGGCAAAATTAGAACCATGCCAGGTTTTATGAAGAATATTTTTCCAAGGATTATGACAGGCGTGGATTTTGTAAAGAATATTTTTTCAAGGATTATGACAGGCGTGGATTTTGTAACGAATATTTTTTCAAGGATTATGACAGGCGTGGATTTTGTAAAGAATATTTTTTCAAGGATTATGACAGGCGTGGATTTTGTAAAGAATATTTTTTCAAGGATTATGACAGACGTGGATTTTGTAAAGAATATTTTTTCAAGGATTATGACAGACGTGGATTTTGTAAAGAATATTTTTTCAAGGATTATGCCAGGCGTGGATTTTGTAGAGAATATTTTTTCAAGGATTATGACAGGCGTGGATTTTGTAGAGAAAATTTTTTTCAAGGATTATGACAGGCGTGGATTTTGTAGAGAATATTTTTTCAAGGATTATGGCAGGCGTGGTTGTTTTTTAAAATTTTTTCAAGGATTGTTTTTTTTAATTTTTTAATTTTTTCAAGGATTGTGACAGGCCGATTTTTTTTAATTTTTTCAAGGATTGTGACAGGCGGAGTTTTTTTATATTTTTTCAAGGATTGCGACAGGCGGAGTTTTTAATTTTTTTAAGGATTATGACAGACCTGGTTGTTTTTTAACGTTTTTTCAAGGATTACGACAGGCGTGGATTAAAAAAAATCTTATATATAAAAAAGGAAACTTCAAGGTAACCCCTTTAAAGACACTCCGTCAGCAACGTGTACAAGACTTACCATCTTTCTTCCATTCCCTCCATTTTGATATCCGGTATATTGGGTATCTTCTTATTCAAATACTGTGAGGATATCTTGAGCAGTGCCTCACTGTAGGACTTTTCCACGGCCGAACGCTTAATGGTGAATTGTCGTATATCCTCGAGCAAATCGCACTCATGTTGATTCTTCAGCTGCAACTTGGCCACTTGTTCCGTATGTAAATTCTTCAGGAATTTCACATAGTTACCCTAATTAGCCATGAAGGACGACGAAGTGGAGACAGAAATAGAAAACAAAAACAAACAAACAAATGAATAAGTATGGACAGGAGAATATTACCACAGTTAGTAAACAAACAATTAAGGAGAGAAAGAGAGAACTGAAACAGAAGTGAACAGTGAAAGATGACAGGTGATGTTGTTGCTGTTGATGATAATGATGATGATGTTGCATGCGTTGTGATAAAAATGTGATGTGAATGTATTAGTTTGTTTGGCTGTCACGTTGGATAGATGGATGAATGAATGATTTATATAGCAAAGATGTAGATAATATTATTAATTAATTAATTAATTCCATAAAAAAGGAGACGAAAAAACAACACAAACATTAAATCCACCAGCAAAGAAATTGTGTTTAGGCTGGTCAACTCTAATCAAGGTAGGAATGGAGGGGGGCTATATGCTTACCTTACGCGGTGGGGGCTGCATTTTATTATTAGTGTCTCTAGTATTCTCTTATCCTATGAATAATAGTAATAATAGCGTCCAATTTATGGAATGACAATTTGTTTTGTTAAATTTTTTGCTCCTTCGATTTGTTGTTCAGTTTTTTTCTTATTTTTAGCTTTTCTTTACGTACATATGTGAATGAGTATTTGTTGTGAGTGTATGTGTGTGTGTTTGAAAATAGTGTATGCAAGGCTTAATGGTAGCACATAGTATGTCCGTAAATAGAGGGGTTTTCCTTAGTCCACCTTGGTTGTCCAATGACAGTATGTATGTATATATGTGTGAGTATTGGTGCGTTTAAGCGTTAAGCATTTAGCGTATTGTTTTTATTATTAGTTTACTGATTCTTGTTTTTTGTTTTTCATTCAACACAAGCACGAACTCATGGTCGTTTTATCTAAAAATACAATACAAAAATAGAAATTAATTGAATGTATGCGCAATTGAAAATGAAAAGTAAATTGGAGATAGCTTATAAATATTTTATTGAGATAATACAGGTTTATTCGTTATTTCTGTCGTAGCGATTTGAAAGTGCAAAAATAAATTGTTCAATGCATAATGTATACGGACACAGACACACACACAAGACTATAATTTTAGATTCTAAAAATTAGACGGACAAAATTATATTCGGTTATTATTGAAATGTATCTATAAACAGAAGAATGCCATAAAGAGGTCCCGTGTAGAAACTTCAATGAGTTTTGATATATAAGACGGGAAGTACTCTCATCCTAGAAGACATCCAGATAATATTAAAATACCTTTTGATATTTTCTATTTTCCGATATTCTTGATCAAATAAGTCATACAATAAAGTCGTCCGGTGTAGAAAACCTTCTAATATATAAGTGGAAAAATATTCAGTTATATACGCTGTATATTTTATATTTTCCAAATATGACGTTTTTGTTTTTTACTTGGCGGTCAATAGAGCTTCTGTATTAAACAACCCCATGGACATTCCTATTGAAAGGCCTTTTCATATTCCCCGTCAGAGTATCTTCTTTTATTATATATTAATAGACATAATGATCTATTTTCGGGAAGCTTCCCTGGTCTTCTTTTAGAAGACCTATTCATCTTCTCTGTCAGAAGGCATAATGTTAAATATTAGACCTCTTCCTATTCTAAGCCAGAAGGTCTCTACTGTAAGACATCCTGGCCTTATTGTTTTGGAAGCTCTCCTGAACCTTAATATTTTAGCAGACCCTTGTAAGGATATCTGAAGATCTGATCTATGTTAGACAACCGGAAAGACTCTAGTTTAGTAAAAACGATCAGATTTTTCTGAAATTTTTTCCAGAGGTAAGTATTTTTACCCTAATTATGGGGATATATTTTTATCTGGGGGGACGTACCCGGTTATTTGGTCCGGAAGTTCGGGTACGGGTACCCTGTTATATCCGGTTCTACGGATCCGGTAATTATAAAATGGGTATCATTTTAAAGGTTATAAAAATACCTTTCCATTGAGAGGTAATATCTCAACCATTGGAGATATAGACAAAAAATGGGTTTTGGTCCCAGATTTTTTTGAAAAACTCCCTAAAAGTTGAACTTGGGTCCATTATAGTTCCTCTCCAACCCAGACTCAAATGATAGACCACAATTTGCCCTTTCCAAAATGCCCTTTCAATGGAAAGGTATTTTTATAACCTTTAAAATTATACTAATATTATATTAACCGGATCCGTAGAACCGGATATAACCGGGGACCCGTACCCGAACTCCCCCAAGAGAAAAAGATATCCCCATAATTAGGGTACAAATACATACCTCTGGAAAAAAAATTCTGATCGTTTTTACTAAACTAGAGTTAAGCCCAATCAGCTGATCTGACATACTATAGTTTATTAATAAGGTCATCGATGGAAATCCACTGTGTATCAGCTGTTTACAAGTTTTCTGTCATTGAGAAATAACAGCTGTTTCCCTTGCTGGGTCACCCCTAGGACTTAATTTTTTATGAAGGCATAAATAACGACAAAGATTTCGACATTATTAATAGAGCTTGGTCTCTATATTTACTCCAATTTCTAAAAAACTAAGGGAATTGATGAGGATCAGTGGCGAGATCCCGAACTAAAGTCTTCTCTGCATTACCCTTCGGCGGACAATGCCATATATTATCCACTAATAAATAGTTGGTTTTTTATAAAAACAATAAAATGGGATTCATCCTGACTATTTGGCAAAAACAAAATTGTTCCAAACATTAAAGAAGGCCATAAAAATACGATGCTACGATCAAGACCATGAAAACTGCTTAGAAAGTGGAGTCGAAAAAAACTCTTACATCTTATTGAACTATAGAAAACCATGTTTAATAACATTAATCAATTTTTTGTATTTTTGAAAATAGTTTTGCCACACCCTTTTCTAATGTTTTCTTTTTAATTCTTTTCATAACTCAATAAAACTAACTATAAAACGTTTTCCATACCAATGTCAGTATTTTTGATAATTTAGATAATTTTTAAACAAATTAGGACATTTTAAACAGCATTTACATTAGAAATTGTTACCGGGTGTTAACCTACTTTATGGGAATTTATTTGACATATCTACAATGGAATTGACAATTTAAACCCACTGGGTTAACAAAATCCGGTATAATGTAAACGTACTTTAAAAGTTGTATATTTCAAAACGATTTAAAATCTGTTGGTTTATGGATTTAAAAATCAGCATTAAATTTTAAAATTGTCTTATATTGTCTATTTATAAAGGATACATTGTTTGACATATAATCAAGGGAATTGAATTCCACGTGTTTTTATCAACCCTGCTACTAAGTTAAGGGTCGCTTGATGATCCATAACCTTTTTATCATAACCGTATTTCTTTTTTCTTTTTTGCAATATTGAACTCATAAAACCTTTTTTAAAAAAAATAAAATTTCATTAATAAAAAGTGGGCGTCAAAAATGGTAAACGCGCTTCTATTTTGAAATCCATTTTTTCAGATCAGCTGATTTCTTGTTCATTCGAGAGAGATGAAGGGAGAGGAAAATATTCATATCTTCTCACTCTCTATCTCCAAATATTAAATTTCTCACTTCCAATAAAATCACTCAGTGCCAAATTCCTTTTTATATAATTTAGAAAATTTCGTTTATTTATTATTTTTTCTTTGGATTGGGGTTTGAGTCCAATTTATCAAATTTGCGTTCATTTATTTTTGTTTTTTTTTTTATGTCCAACATCTTCACTTGCATTTCTCACTTCCTATAAAAATCTTAACTCAAGTATTTATATTAAATGATTATTTTATTATAGTTGTACTAATGCAGCCCTGGTGTCCTCTTAAGCCAATTACCCACTTCTCGGGACTATGGAAACCACTTTTACTTTTTTTCACTTGTTTGGAAGTACATTTTTCACAATGCACTTTGTCGACATGGATATTAAACGTATTCCAATTTGTAAATCATTTCTTTTTTTACTTTTTTTTAGGAAAAATTCTTCACTTTGAAATTTTCACGTGTCCCTGGCAATTTTCCAATAGTACGAAAAAGAAAAAAAACTTGTACAAAAAAAATTATTGTAGTTATTTAAATTCATTTCGTTGTTTTTTTTTCACAAGATTCAGTTTTCTTATCGTAGTGGTGGTTGTGGTGTTTGTAGAGGATGATTGCCTTCTTAAATATCCAACATTAGAAAAGGATATCCCCTTTTGAATATTTATGCTTTATATATATGGCTGTGTATATTTCTATATTATGTTGTGTGTATATCTATGTGTGTGTGCCTGCCTGCCTGTTTGTCTGGGTATTGGTTTCTTATGTACACTTATGTAATGTTTGTATATGAGGAAGCGAGAAAAAATCCCAAATTTTTTCTCCACACCGAAAAAGCACTGAATTTTATTTCGTTTTTTTTTTATGTTTCAACCAAGTTTTATTTCAAAACTGTTTTATTTTTCCCATTCCTTTATTTCAGGCAAATAAAAGCATATAGCATAGGCGTAGGCTTGTAAGCAGCAATTCTATAGATTTTCTATGCATTTTTCAAGGTATTTTTGCTTGAGAAACAATTAGGCAAAGGGGTTTTATGCGTGTTTGTGGTATAAAAAATATATTTCAAACTTTTCTAACACTTTTCTTTGTTGTATTATCCTTTTTGGCCATTGATTATTACTTCTTCACATGAAGATAACACGATTTGCCCGTTTAAACAATTACACCAATTTTGAAACTAACTTTTTTTAAATACCGAACAAAATTTTTTTCTTCCGTTTGGTTTTTTCACTTGCGATTCTTACGTATCGATTTGGACGACGTTGTCGACGTCGTCGTTGTTGATGGAAATTGCCTGGTTTTGTGTCTAAGATAGTCTTCTTCTTATTGCTGTGACGACTGTTATGTTGTGTTAACTCTTCGTTGATTTGAAACTGGAATAACCACCAACAACTGAAATAATTTTCGGAGAACAATTATCCCCCATAAATAGAAAATGCGTGAGTGTAACTTTCCAATATTGTTGTTTTTAGCTCCGGTTTTTCGCCTTTCTGATAAGCGGGGTGTAACAGAGGGGTGGGTTTTGAAAGGATAACGTAAATGTTTTCATTCATAAATGTCATTTGTTCGTCTTCACCTTTTTGGCTGGAACGAGTGTCAGTGTTGTATTCAGCCGGCCCTGCGCATTAACAACACCCCACACACTTTTTTAAACACATTGCAAATACCGTTACTTTTTCAGACGTGTTTTGAAAATATATTCAGCTATTATTTTTCAATACCCTTCATTAAATTTTGTCGTGATACTAACATTTTTATTCACTGTTATTTTTTTTACTATGTCATGTCCACATAGTTGTTGTAGTCAAGATAAGATTATTAAAGAAAACTTTTAATATTTGAGGGCCATTCTACTAGACAGCAACAAGGAACGTACATTTTTCAATACGCTCAAATACTCTACTAAATTCTCATTATGGACATTGTTTTCGTTTTTCTAATTTTCGAAGTTGATATTGTTGTTGGTGTACCGATATGTTTTTTATCAGTTCATACGACAGCAAATTTCTACTCAATTGCCGGGGTATTGAGTTATTTTGGTTTATCAGAACGTTAGAGTGAAAATTCAACAGTGTTATCATATATATTTTAATTTATTCTACTACCAAAATTTATGATCGAAATTGACCAAAAGAAAAAAGGCCATAAAAAAGAACTGAATGTCTTCTTAATAGAAGAGTTGCAGGACTTCTTTTGAACAGAGACTAATAGGTGTTCTCATAGAAGACCAAACGCTCTTCTTATTAAGACACAAAGTTATTCCGAACATCTTTCGTATAGAAGGTCTTCTTCATAGAAGAGCTGAAGGGTTTGTTCATAGAAGAGCTGATTAAAGAAGCCTTCTATCATCAGTTTAAAAGGTATTCTTACAAAATTCGTAGAGGTATTATTCTTACAGAATTCTTAGAGGCCCTCTTATAAATAACCAAGGGTCCTCTTATAAAAGGCCAAGACTAATAGGTGTTCTCATAGAAGACCAAACGCTCTTCTTATTAAGACACAAAGTTTTTCCGCAAATCTTCTTCGTATAGAAGTACAGAGAATCTTCTGGTTCTATGATCTAAAAAATCTTCCGATTGTAGGATATAATATATCTAAAAGAAAACCAACAAATGTTCTTAAAGCGGCCTAAAAATTGTTCTTTTAGAGAACGATTTTATAGATTATAAAACAAGATGTTCCTATAGAAACCCAAAACATAAGGGAGTCATACTGTTTAATTTTTTTATGAAAATAAATTTGTTTTTATTTAACAAAATTAAGTTAAGATTTTTTATTGATTGCATATTTTTTTCATTAATTAAAGTGTTTACAAAAACAAAATTAACACTAACAGTTCTAAAAAGGAGAAAACAAAATCAATAATAGGAACTACATTCTACATACAACGACAACTTAACAATCTTACAATACTAATAGTTTATAGGGTTTAATATATACTTTGGTATTACTACCATCTTTTGATTTTAAATTGTAAGGTCGGGTTGCTTCATCAAAGAAAGCTTCAATTTTGGTATCAATTTTAATGTGTGCCATCATATCATGAGGTAGAATAATATAAAAAACTTCATCATCATTAAAATATTGCTGGAGATCTTCTCTATCATCATCGAGCTGCACCCGGGCCACATGAACATTATGCTGGCATTCCAATTTGAGTACTCGTAAAATAGTACCCATTCTCAAGCCAAATTTCTTATCATGTTTGAAGTATCTAGCATCAGTTTTAGCTTTGTTCAGCGATCTTCTGTATAGCTCCACATAACCACCTGGTAAACATTTTTTCGTTGACTTTCTTGGTGATTTTCTAATCGAATTATTTTTCATAGAGTTCTCCTTTTCAATAAGTTCAATCATAAGATCCAATTCGGTGGGACGTTTACGTGGAGACGGTGTACCTGAGGGTGTACTAATAACCTGAGTAGGATTGGGTGAACTACATACAAATGATCTATCATTGGAGAGACTATTAAAGGGTTCTTCATCTGATGCCAGCCCAGATATATTCAAATCAGTCTTTGATGTTTGGGATCTTGTTTGCCTTTTGCTGATGGTATTTGTTTTTCTTTTACGTGGTGAAGTTCTTCTTTTCGGCGAACTCATTTTGGTAATACTAATATCCAATGGTTTATATCGGGATAGAATTTCTTTTCTTGAACGTTTTGAGGAATTCAAGCCACTTAAGCTCAAGGATGTTTTTCGTCTTCTTCTAACTGAATTTTGTGTAGATTCCTCGTCTTCTGATTCTATAGAAGACTCATCAGATGATATCTTGGATCGTAAACGCGGTGTTATACTTCTGACACTGGATACAACAGATGCAGCTGAACAGGGTAAAGATAATTGTATTTCTTCACTGGGTTGTGTTAAGGGTTCTTGTTTTATTACAATGGGACGTGGCATCAAGCCATCATCATCACTGTCATCTTCCGGCGGTGTTGGCATAATTTCACCGTTCCTTATCCATCTGGGCACAATTGCTGCAGTTGGAGGTTCTTCGTGTGGCAATGATGTGTTGGTGTTTTGTAAATTTCTTCGTATCTTTGTTATTTTTAGGGGAATTTCAAATGATCGCCTCACATGAACAAAGGAGTGTTTTCTTGGTGAAAAATTCTCATCTTCGCTAAAATTCTCAATGGATTCTTCAAGCTGAGTTGCGGATATAGACGATGTGTTCAACCGCAATTTTGTTCTTGCCATTTGTTTGGTGGTCCGCTTTCCCTTTTTGGGGACATCCCGGGGAATATTATATTCTCTGAATATATTTCGGCAAACTGATCTCATGGTTCTTCGATATTTTGTTTATTTTTGCCAGAAAAAAAGTGGCGAAAACGTGCAATTACATCCAAAATATATGGAATTGTTTTGCTTTCCGAATCTATTCAAAATGTTATTCACACGAAGGAACTATGTGAACCGTCATTGTCGGGGATAACATTTTACAGTGAATGTAACAAATGTGTGTGGAAGTGTCTGTTCAAATGACTTAATTAGTTATTCTCAAATGTTAATAAAATTTAAATGCAACAGGAGGCAATTCTTAACCTCTATAACCCAAATTTTTTTCCTGACTTAAGGCTGTATACTACATTTCATAATTAAATATAGATTCCATCAATACAAATGTAAAAGGGAGGGATATTGGACTACTAAAAATATTATACCGAGCAAATTGAAAAACATGGTTTTGATTAATTGGATTATGACTATTCCAGTTTTATTTTTTGTGCAATTATCCTAAATAGGGTATGTACAAAATTTGTCGTCACAACATCATTGCATTCGGGAGATACAGTACATTCTTTCTGAGAAATAAATGTCCAATATCAGGACTTCAGTTTACCGTGAATACTTGTAACATTAGTAGATTCTTGAAGGTTCTGGAATGGAACTATAATTTAGTTTATCTAAAAAATTAATTAAGGCTACGTTTAGACTACTAAATCCTCTCGATCTCAAACGTCAATTCAATTGCGTATACGTTACGTTAATCTAGTTCACAAATCCAGTGGATTATATTTGACGTATACGCTACGGATTTGACATTTGAGTTAGAGTGGATTTCGTAAATCTAAACGTATGTGAAACATAAGGAAATCAGCTGTTTGAATGAAACACATTGTTGGAAGAAAATATTTCAATTGCAAGTCAAAGAAAAGGCAAAAATTACAAATTATTATTTCGTTTGTAGGTGTTTAATAAAAAAAGATGTTGATTTAAGAAAAAATAAAAGTGATTTTTTTGTTTATAGGTTATGTCATATGTAAAATACAAATTTGAACACAAAAATAAATGTTTTGTGTACGCCGCTAATTTTGACACACATAAGGAATTACATATGGATGAAATAAGTGACAACACATATGTAAAATACATATCGTGTAAAAACACCATTAATAACGTGTTGACCTGTTTCTTTTGTTTTTATTGAATGGAATAATAAAATTCTGCATTTAGTTCGATATTTATAAAGCATAATTTTGAATAAATTAAATTTTTTTACATACATTTTTCAAAAAGATATGTTTTTTTATTAAATAATAAATCCTTTCCATTTTTGTCATAAGTAAACACTCGCAATCATAAACAACATAATTGGTCTGTTCCCTTACTGCAAGAATCTACTCGATTTTACTATTTTCTTCGATATCATAAAGGTAAAAAGTGTTATCAGAGTAAAAAATAGTAGATTCTTGCATTACGGGAACATACCACATGTTAACGCCAACTAGTAAAGCAATCTGACGTCTAACGTTGACGCTTTCATTGTAATATTGAATATGCATCTGTCAAATAATGTGGCAATACTGTCACAGCTCTACAGGTGTTTACGTTTAACAGCTGATCAACGACAACGACTTGTAACCAACATTTATGTGAGAAAAGAAATCTTTTGAGCCATTGAAGAGTTTTGAAACGGTTACGTTGTTTAGTGAGTCAAGTTTCACTGTTACAGGTGTTAACAAGAACGCGATATCATACCCGCGAGTGCTGTGCATAAAGCAATATTGTTGCAAAGAAGTAGGCAACAACAAAAAAGATCGAATCGATTACATAGTTTGTTAAAATCAATTGTATTGCAAAACAAAATGCAGTCAAGTAAAATATTGGTGTCACATTGGAGAAAATCCATTCAAGTACAAGTGAATAGAAATTTGGCAATCAATAGGCATTTTAATACAAATCCTGCTGTTGTGCTATCGACAAATAAAACTTTCACTTTCGATCAACAACGACAACAACAGCAAACACAAAAACGTTGGTCAACAACAACGGCTGCAATCAATGGTAATAACACCACCACCAGCGTCAAATCATCTCCACCAAAACATGACTGGGATCGTGCTGTTAGCGAAGCCGAGCGTATTGTTGGCTATCCCACATCCTTTTTAAGTTTACGCTGGCTACTTAGCGATGAAATAGCTAATGTGGCATTGTATCTACGTAAATTAGTTGGTAGCAGTCATCCTCTGTTGAAGACAGCCAAGTAAGTTAAGACAGGTTTACTTCGTTTTGTTGTATTTGTGTATAGAGATAAGATGTGCGTTCATATGTACTGCTGCATGGAGGAATGTATGAATGAAGAAGCATTGTGATGAGCTTGGATTGCGACATCGAGACATCGTTATGTGTGTGAATGGAATGTAAATGTGCGCATTTAGCCATTGTTTACACACAATGTCTTCTTTTTGTTGTCGTTGTTGTTGGTCTTGTTATTTATATAATGTGTGTATAAGCCAGAGACTATGCTATGAAGGTGGTTTAATATTTAAACAACAATTTAGTAATGGTGATTTAAACAATCGTGTTTTTATGGGCTTGGTCAAAAGATGACATTCATTAAAAGTATGGTGGACAGTTAAGATTTCCGGGAGTATCATTCGTAGTAATGATACACGGTTTGCAATGCCATTCCAAACTCGACATAAAAATAAGGAAAGAATGTTTTCCACCAACTGAGAACCCATGTTCAAAACCCATCAAATTTCTAAAACTGGGGTTATCGTTATACTGGATCTACACCTAAATATGGCTTAGCCGCAATAAATGAAATAAAGAATGAATGAAATACAGACAGATACAATTAATCTTTGAACATGACCTGATTGCAGACAGGAACTCTGACATGATTTGATATACAAATTTGAAATGATTTTGAATCCTATACATATATCAAGAAGAGTTAAAGACTAGCGGTCGTATGCATTCCACTTTCCCTTCTGTCTATTACAAATAATAAATTGTATTAATTGAAAATTTGTCAACCGTGTTTTGACTGAAAATTATCTTAGTGTGCAGAAACTAGTTTTTTATTTTTGATTTTGAAATCAGTATCTTGTAAAACAAATCCAGCAAACAAACATTAACTAATACAATGATAGGCTGTATCGAATTCAAGGTTTTTGATCTGTATATAAATGACACAATAAATTATAGTTATGGGCATAATAGGCCTTTATTTAAATTATGTGCCACAACAAAATTTAAAAAAAAAATTTCCCGAAATTGCGACAAAGAGTTTGCATTTTCTTGTGGGATTTTTTTCAATTGCCGCAATTATTTTCTTTAGTGAAATGTAATAAATAGCCAAAAAGGAATGTAGTAAGTCGGACCGGGCCGACTTTGGGTATCGGAAGAAAATATATATAAGAGCTATGTCTAAATCTGAACCGAATTTTCCATTTCCAATTCGGATCGTAAATGCGACCTGTTCTTTGTTTACAATTTAACATGACAGACAGACGTACGGATATCCATAAATCGACTTATAAAGTGATTCTAGGTGCTCCATTTACATAAAATCGGACGAAACTACATACGGGAGCTATATCTAAATCTGAACCGATTTCAACCAAACTTGGCATACATTAATCTGGACCTAATTCAATACTCTGTGCAAAATTTTGTCTCAATCGGACCAATATTGGCATAAAATCGAATCTGAATCGATTTTCTCAAATTTCAATAGGGTTTGTCCTTGGGCCAAATAAATCATATGTGCCAAATTTCATCCAAATCGGGTCATAAATGCAACCTGTACTTTGTTCACAAAAATACATGACCGGACGGACAGACGGACATGCACAAATCGACTCAGTAAGTGATTCTATGCATACCCAACATACCATTCAGTAATCAAATCTCAATACCACTTGAGAACAAGCTTATAATAATAGTTGTTCTTAAGCGTAATATTAAAAAAATGTTGTTAAAATTTGACTTCACAAACAGTTTTCAACTATGCTTGATAAACTATTGTTGTACACAAATGTTTCTCAAGAGTTGTATATTGAGATGACTAACCTTTATACATACTAGTTAAGATAAAATTACATTTGTAAACAATCGAAATGTAATATCAAACAATTATTAATAAACATTTCTCAAGATTATCTCAAGACTTTTTCAAGCTTAATGCTTTTGTGGTAAGCTTAATATAATATTATTCTCAATACTTTTGGTTTGTTGGGTATTCTCAAAAGAAATGTTACAAACATATGCACAAAGACATAATACCCTGTATCACAGGGTGGTGAAGGGTATACAAATTGGGTTGTGGTTCAACGACTTCTGTTGTTGTTTGCTTTGAAAGTTTTTCAGATTCACTTGGATCATCCCAAATGCACTGCAATCCATTAAAATAGAAATCAACCTTTTTTTTGGTTTAACAGTTAAGTTTGTTAATTAAAATTATTCGTTAACTTTTGCAACATAACCTTGCTGTTAATCAAAACTGAATACATGCATTCATTTGTGTTGAACATTGAACTGTTACGACCTTGACTTTTTACAACACCAACTAAATTTTTTATGTTTCATGCAAAAAAAAAAAAGTAATCTACAATTTTTATAATACTACAACAACAATATGCAAGAAAATAGTTTCATTTTTAATTAAATTTTTTCAGAGGTCTTTTGTATAATGGCAAAAATACCATGCAGGCCTGGGGTCTAATTGTTCTACTCATATCCAAAGCTGCTGGTCATGCACCATCTGTACCCGATATGGAGCAGGATAAAAGTGCTGGAGTTTTGCACAGTCAACGGGGTCTGGTGGAGGTTACGGAAATGATACGTATATCCCATTTGATTCACAATGTGAGTAGTCGCCAAATAAAGGATATAATTTATTAAAAATTAATTTATTTTCCCCCTTTTTAGAGTTTAGTTAATCTACAGCGTTCCACCAAAGCCAGCCAAGACAGTGCCTCCTATGATGACATGACCTTTGGCAATAAAATCGGTTTGCTGATTGGTGACTATTTACTAAGTCATTCCAGTGCAGAAATGGCCAATTTGAGAAATCAAGTTGTTGTAGAAATGATTTCTTCGACTGTTCGTGACTTTAGTGAATCGGAATTTATCGGTGAACGAGATGAACAAAATAATCCCTTGCCATCAAGACCGGGCACGAAACCTTTGCAACAGACCAGCAAAACAATTAGTACAACAGATATTGATTTCTGTCGCGAAGATGTCTTGAAACCCATGAATATTAATAAATATTTGGGTGATCCGGAAAAGGAATGGGAGGCACGTAATATTTTAAATGTTGGCAGTTTGTTGGGCAAATCATGTTCGGCCTCTTTGCTGTTGGCTCAACAAAGTGAGGAATTGCAGAAGAAGGCATATTTGTTTGGTAAACATTTGTCGTTGGCCTGGCAGGCATGTATTGATGCGGAACCATTTCAATTATCATCACTTCCATATGGTGAGTAGTATCAAAGAACGTGGAACATTAATTTTATTTAAATATTTTAATCATGTTCTTTTCTAATATCTTTTCAGATACCACATTCAGTCTGGTGAGTGCTCCCGTTTTATTCCATTTGGAATATGATCCAAAACTTTATGATGAAATTGAAAAGGGCAAAGTTAGTGTTGAAAATGTTGACTACAATAAAATACACAAAGCGATCCTGCAAGGACCCGGTCTAGAGAAAACAAAACAATTGCAACGTAAACACACAACGGCAGCTTTAAAGGTACTCGAAAGTTTCCCCAACAATGATGCCCGCAAGGCATTGGAAAATATAATCTTAGCAATGCAAGATTTATAAAATCAAAGACGCGAACAATATTTAGATTTTAAGAAATAATTTATATAAATACCTATATATAATTTTAACTTGTAACTAAAAATGTATGACCATAAAGAAAAACAATAAAGACACATAGTATATTTATACAAATTTTCTAGCAAAAACAATCAAATTCAAGACTTTGTTATTTGCAACAAAACTAAATGCTTACAACGTTCATATTTAAAATACTGTGGGAAATCTGTCTCAATATATTTAAATTTCCAAGGTTTATGCAAGGTCTGTTTGAGGAAATACTCGAACATTGGCGCAACAGCATCCATTTCAGAGAATGTGAACACATAACGTTTTTCCAAGGCTACAAATATTTCTTTCTTTCTCCCACTTATTTGTTCGCGTTGGAAGATGGCATCTATTACCTTGATGAAGGCATTGGTCAAATCGTCATCATATATGACATCAGCTGCCACCACAATGTCACTCTCATCAATGGCCTTTAGCAGTTGCCTTGAATATTCACTTTCGGGTTTCATAAAATCATATTCCATAACATCAATTTTGCTGGTATCGCATAATTTTGAATTCAACTTTACATTGTTTCTAATCAAATCCAATATACCACCAATATCAACATCGGTGCACACAACTTTCTTTACATATAATGCTGCGGCAAGGCTGGTCAAACCCACTCCTGCTCCCAATTCCATTATAGTTTTATCTTTGAACTCATCACGGCGATGGAAAATATAATCAGCCAACAGTAGTGCACCTCTCCAAACTTGCAAACCCACCAATTTTATTTCAGTTGCTTCCGAATGTTGCAATTCAATAGTACCACATGTCGTGGCATCACTTTTCTTCTTTCGGGGGACAATCAAATCACCATCTTTATCCACAGTTGGCTTGAGAACCTCATCATCGGCGGGATAAACAAACTCAAATTTGGACGTTACTTTACCATCCTTTCCCTTGATGGGTTTGAAATTTGTTTCCTTGTATATTTCTGAGGTTACCGTATACATGTTCCTGAACTTGAACTTGGAATGGGGAACTTTATGTAACAGATTCCTCTATGTTTTTGTTTATTAAACATTTTACATATAGTTTTTTTCGCTGGGCCATTGAAATATATGAAAAAAATCAGAATCAGAAGATTACTCTGCATTGCCGGTTATTGAAGAGTAACGCCGTTGACACAGCAATGTATTCTAGCACTGAGGTAATGACATGTTTACATTACAGGGTTTGACAGAAAAAAAATGAAATAAAAGATATTTTTACATACATTAAAGTGGTATATTTTCAATAATGGCATATTCACAACATTTCAATATTAATTACATAACTTTTGTTGGAGTTTTTAAAGGCATACGAGTCGAATTGGGCCAAGAAACAAGAGAATGCCCATGGTATAATAAAAAGTGGTAATAGTAAAATAAAATAAAAATGCTGTTGTTGTTATACAAGCCCTTATTGGCATATGTGCTGTCAGTTTTTCTGTATATACGACATTATTAATGTTTGTCAAAATTGGTACTTTAATGTTCACACGTGTAAATGTACTTTTTATTATTTTTTCCTTCAACTAATTTAACTTCATTTCTTCGAATTATTTTCTATCAGAAATATGTTTCTATTAACATAGGTAAAATTTTACAGTACAGATGACATTGATGGCTCGTGTATCAAGGCCTTTAGTGTGCCCGATATCTATTAATAGTACGTTTACATTTAACCGGATTTCGTTAATCCAGTGGTTTTCAATTGTCAATTCATTTGCATATAGGTCAAATCCTCATAAAGCAGGTTAACCGGTAAAAATTTCTAATGTATATGCCGTTTAAAGGTACGTTAAGATTTTCGAAATCCACTCGATTTGTGAACAGGATTAACGTGGCGTATACGCAATGGAATTGACGTTTGAGATCGAGTGGATTTAGTAGTCTTAACGTAGCCTAATGCTGCTGTTAAAATTGATATTTGTGTGAATTGAAATAATAAAACCCAACATTTAAAATATGTTAAAATAAGCATATCTACAATGTCAAATAAATTGAAATATATTCAAATTTAATTGAAATAAGAATGATGTTTTAACGGGTCCACCTGGAAGTAATTACTTTGTTATAGATGAAAGAAATACTTAATTATATTCCCTACTGGGTTTTGGAAAGAAATCATAGCCATTCATTCATTTTTCTCGTTTTTAGTTATGTGTTGAAAAAATGTAAAAAAAAACGTTTTTTTTGTTACTCAACTCAAGCTGCCCTATCTTGTATTATTGTACCATGGGTTTAGTAGTCTAAACGCGCTCTTATCTTAATAATGTGCATTATCTCGATTTAATTACTTAATTTTATTTACTTTAATTTTATTAAAAAAGTCAGTTCGTTTTTTAATAGTTTTCTGAATATAGATGGAAAAGACATTTTATTTTTTTTTTATTATTTTATTTATTTACTCAATACAAAGAAAGCTTCTATGCCAATTATACATGTATTGGAAATAACAATAATAAAAAGAGCTAAAACTCTGGTAGTGATGTTATACCTTATTAATATTATTAAAACTAATAAAAATTTAAGAGTAAGAAAAATTAAATTAAATGGCTCCCCAGCCAATATGAATGCTGACAACAAAACAAAAAAGTTTGGATCCCATAACTACATGTGTAATGTAATTAAATTAACCATTGAGAAATGATTTTAACAATTTAGAGAAGTTGAAATATGAATAAGAGAATACTCTCATTGAATTAGGCAAACAATTCCAAATTCTGTAGACACGAACCACAAATGAGTGCTCATAAATTGATGATCTGACCAAGGGTACTTCGATCTGCACGTTGCGAGAGAATTAATAAATGTAAATTGCTTGACTAAAATTTCAGGCTTTTGCAATTTTATAACCTTATAAAAATGAAGAACTATGCGCTGACTTATATAGTTCCGGCAAGTACAACCAAGAAAAACAGATGTTAATTCAAATGCGCGAACATGATCGAGTATCCCAAGTTTGAAAACATATCTTACTACTTTGCGTATGATCTTTTCTAATCTGTTTAAGTTATAAGACCAAGTACCAGAGTATACTTCAATACCATAATTAAAGATAGACATCAAAAGCGAAAAGGCTAAACGTTTTCTTATGTTCTCTGGGGTGTAAGCTCTAAGACTATACAATCTCCTTAAAGTGAAACATATTTTCCTAGATATGTCATTGATATGATCATTAAAATTAAGGCAAGAGTCAAGTATTATCCCCAGACATTTTAGGGAACGTACAAATTCTATCATTTGTCCATTTAAAGCAATCTTTGGACAAAGAGTCTCCTGATGGCGTGTGTGAAAATAAATGGCTTTTGTTTTTGCAGCGTTTATTTCCAACTTATTCATTGTCAATATGTTAGATGTGTTGTAACATGAAATCGGCGAGAGTGTATTATGGCTTTGTGTCATACTCAGCTGTTGTTGGTATGCCATCAATTTTTATTGTTTTGCCTCGGCTCAGCTCATCGTCCTCACTCGACCATGCACAACAGTATATTAAAGAAAAATAACATTAAAGGGTCACGATAGCGATACAGATGTTTGATATTGTTGTTGTGGGTACCCCAGATGGTGTATGGGTACCTTGAGCCCTCCCACGGATTTCTTCAAAATCCCCTGCGGGTTTCTTCTTTTGCAGGAAACCCCCTAAAACATTTTCATTTGGCTGGACCTACCTTATTTCACCATTAATAAATGACTAACACATTTTCACTTCACCGTTACAAAAATTCATTATTCCCTTTTTATTTGTATCGGGATTCATATATAGTACATTATGACATTAAGTTTGTATTATATGAGTGAACATTATATTAAAGCAAAGGTAGGAATATGAATAGTAACAAAATACCTATATTGTTCTATGTTTATCCCAACATAAATTCAATAAACAGAAATATGCAAACATATGAGAATTTGTAAAATAAATCTCGACCCTATTGAGCTCAAGAGGTAAGATATTCGGTCACCTTCTAGACCGGGTATGACTGAAAAGCTACTAGTATTTAATAGGGATCAACATTTACATACAATAATAGTTAGAAAATATAATATAATAATATGAATGATAATTTGAATTATTTCATTAGTTTTTAAATATTCAATGATGGAAATCGTTTTTTTTTTAATTCTCAAAAAAAAAATATTAATTTAATTATTTCAACGTTAGATTGCTATTCAAATAATCAATCTTTTGAAGTCTTCCAATAATTACTCGTCCAGCAAGTTTAAAATAATTAATTTTATTAATTATGAAATAATTAATTTTAATAATTATTTAAATTTTGAAATATTTAATTTTTTTATTGTGAAATAATCAAGTTTAATAATTATTTGGGCTTGAAATAATTAATTTTAATAATTATTTGAGTTAAAAATTTGAGTTTAATTTTATCAAAACTTAATTTCATTAATTATTTAAATTATATAATAATATTAACAATTTACTTATTATAGTATAATTAATTTTGTTAATTATTAGACCCTCAGATAATTATTTTTTTGATTTAAAATAATTAATTTAATTAAGTTAATTTTAATTTCTTTAAATTAATGATAGATTATAATTCAAATAATTAATTAATATTTTTTTTATTAATCGATTTCATTAATTTATCAATTTCTTGATAATCGAATTTCTAAATGATTAATGTGATCGAGAATCAAAAAAAAGTTTATTGTAAAATCGACTAAAATTCTAATTTAATAATTTTTTTTTTTTAATGATTAATTATTATAATTATTTGGTTTTCAATTATTCATTTTTCATTTCAAATAATCTCAAAATTAGATTATTATTCTAGATTTTTCATAAATTTTAATGAATTCAGTTTTTTTCTTTTTTTTTTTTTAAATAATTTAAACGATTAAAGCTATTTCACAAACTTTAATTATTAATCATCTTCGACAACTATCGTTGTTTGTAACTGTACTGTATCAAAAATTTTTGGAACACAAAAAAGAAAAGAAACGAAAGCACATGGGCTGCTTAAAATAACGGTAATATGCCGTTATATTTGCACTATATATACATAAATGTACGTAAGTACAATGTATGTTTTTCAGATCGGCTGTCCGTCGATGAATATATAGAAATAATAGTATCCGTATTTTCCTGCCTGTGGCAGAAAAATACGAATAACTAATGATGATATATTTTCTTTACACTAAATGCTTACTGCGGTGATGGGAGAAGCGCACTCAGGTCTTACAAAAAAACTTCAGCAACTGGAAGGCTGGACTTTATTGAGATGGTTTTAAATGGTTGATGCAACAGCTTGTGGTTGTCGTAGTACCAAATGGTTTCACACAATGGTGGTGATAAATTGCAATGGGTTGTAGTTGGGATTACTGCCAATGGGTTCTGGTGGTGGTCACTGTATATGGGTTGGAGTGGTGGTCACTCTCAATGAGTTGTGGTGGTGCCGGTGAAAGAAACCCGGTATTGGAATGGTAACAATGGACAAAAATGCAAACTGTGGTCGTTGGTCAATAGCAATTGGTAATGGCAGCGTGGTAGCAATTTAAATAAGTGCTGGTTGAGGCCGAAGCCTACGCTCCCATGTGCCCAAAGAAATACCTGTTGCCAATAAGAAACAAAAAAAAATGCACAACTATAACAATGCCTTATCTGCATGAAAGGATTTTGATCCAACTCACTCTATACAAAAAAAATCCCGGGCGCCGTCAAAATTCTGATGGTAGTAAATTCGGAGCACTCACTTTTTATTCACAATTAGCACGATTCACTTTTATTTTATTTTTTTCTCCAATTGCCGCCTTGATGAGTTTGAAACAAATGACAGAATGCAAATGGCGTTCTTTTGCATTCCCTTTGTAAACGATTAGGCTGTTCGTAATCGAAAATGTCACCTTGCAAAAAAAAGGGGTAATCGATAACCGGTAGCCGTCAGGCTATCAATGCATCGACCACAATGCGGGCGATGTTTACGCTGCGCATTGCGTTAACCGGCTGACATAACAAACCCGAACATGTTGACGCAGGCCAGCCGAAGTCTAACTGATTTGGGAAGTCAACCGTGATGTGTACGAAA